CGATTTGTACTTGTGTGGTTTAGGAAACGTACTTTCACTGCCACCAGAGAGCTGTGCAGCTGCTGCCTGAGCAGTAGCTTTCTGCTTTTTGCTGCCTACTTTTTAACTGTCTGCAGGCTATTTCTATCTGCCACGCTGTGTCTAAAAAAGCTACGGAGAGCTCCCATGGAAAGCCTGTAGGTGGATCAGGTCACTCCACAAACCTACAGCACTGTATTGGATAAGACTGGCAGTTTGAACTGCACTGTTTTTTTCTTTTCTTATTTTTTTTTTTGCTGCTATGTGAGTCAAATGCTGTTTTCCAAGCAGTCTGATTTATACAGTCACAGCAGTGTTGATTGGAAGGACCTCTGAAACACTGTGGTTTTGTCAAGATGAATTTTGAAAAACCTCCAGCAGCAGCACTTGTGCAGCTTTTCTGGGCAACCTATTCTGCATATGCACTGCTTTCGTAATAAATTTGTTTCCTAATGCCCATCCTGTACCTCACAGCCATTGCCTCTTATTTCATTATTTGGCCTTACCAAGGAGTATTTTGTTCCCATTGCAACCACCCGTCAAGAAGTTGTAGGAATTTCTTGGAATTGTTGCAGTTTTCTTGGAATTAAGATTATCCAGTGCAAACAATAGGCTTTTTGTTCTTTTTCTTTCCCCCTCTGCAACGTAGCATTCCATTTCTTGGTGTAAAATATATTTGCATCCAGAATTTCATACCTATGGGGAAGCTTCCTGACTGCTATTTAATAGATTAATTTATGCAATTTTGAGACAGGTTAGAGTCAGAGATCCTCACGTGCTTTTGTACAGCAGCCTGTCTTAAAAGAGTGGTAAATCCGAGCTCCTCCAGCCAGCAAGGCTCCTTGCCTTTCTGTGGAATCTGTGGACTGCAGAGCGTGGCCTTCAAGTGAACTTCTTATGGAAGTGCTGTGGGGGAATCTCCAGCACTGCTGGGCATGGCATCCTGTCAGGACTTGGTGCCTTGAGGCAGGCCCTCTGGCCTGGCAGGTTCGTTGGGCTGAAGTACTTAGCAAGTGTTGCCCCGTGCTGCTTTCACAGTTCCAGTGTGAGTTCAGGGAGTCCCAGTCAATAGCTGTTATGGTGGCTGTCAAAAAGTGATTGTCGTTTCTATGAAAGTGGTGAACCACCCACCTGCTGCAGGACAGCTGCCCCAGGGGAGCCTTGACTGACGCAGAGGGGCTATAGCTCCTTTTTATTAAGCATTAGTAGAGCATTACAGGACCATGTGATAGGCTCACTCATGAGGAAAAGACTGAAGTTGCTCAGAGAGCTGTAGCACCTCTGCTATGAAGAAAGGCTGAGGGAGTTGGGCTTTTTCAGGATGGAGAAGGGGAGACCTGACTGCGGCCTTCCAGTGCTTAATGGGAGCTTATGAACAGGAGGGAGACCGATTTTTTATGCAGTCTGATAGTGATAGAACCATAGAATCATTGAGGTTGGAAAAGACCTCCAAGATCATTTAGTTCAACTGTGAACCCATCCTCTCCATGTCCACTGACCATGTCCCTCAGTGCCTTCTCTACCCTTTTCTTGAGCACCACCAGGGACAGTGACTCCAGCACCTCCCTGAGAGGCCTGTTCCATTGCCTCACCACTCTGAGAAGAAATTAGGAGGAATTTCTTTACTAAGAATGTAGTGAGGCTGTGGCACAGGCTGCCCAGTGAGCTGCGGGTGCCCCATACCTGGAGGTGCTCAAGGCCAGGTTGGCCCTGTGCAGTCTGAGCTGGTGTGGGGCAACCAGCCTACAGCAAGGGGTTGGGAATGGGTAGGCTTTGAGTTCACAGCCCAACCCAGCCCATGCCATTCTGTGATGTTCTATGGAGTCTTGACCATCTGACATGTCTTCGTCTTCAGGCAGAAAAATACACGCAGTGTCTGAGGTGGGTCACTTGGCTTCTCTCTCAACACCTCACTCCGTCCACACAGCTCGAGTATGTGCATTTTTGGAGGCTTGTTGCAGGTCCTTAACTTCTCGGCTAAATTCAAGAGCAGCGATGAAGGGAATATTTCTGTGCATCCACATGGGAGCGGAAAAGCGTGTGCTTTTCTAGGCACCGGCTTACTTGCCTGACATCATGCGTGGTGTGGGCGAAGGTGTCATGTTTTGGAGCTGGAGCAGTGTAATTACTGCACTGAGCCGCATCGCAGGCACAGAGACTGTTCCCCAGCTCCTCTCGGACCAGACAGCTTTTTGCTTTTTTTCTAGGTAGAGTATGTGGCCTGATGTACAGAACACAAAGGGCTCAGGCTGTGATTACCTCTGCGGCTGCTTTCTGGGTGGCTCCCATCGGCCGAGGAGAAAAAGCTGTCAGTTCCCTGCAGCCAGGGAGAAGTTAGTGCTGACAGATCCTGCGTGTGACAGTTTATCTGCTGTGAAGTCAGAGTCCCTTGCTGCTGCTGTGATCGGTTACTGCAGCATGCCAGCAATGCTCTCTTACATTCTTAGAGGGTTTTTTCCCAAGATTTGTAAACTGAAAACTGTGGGGTATTTACTCTAGTAATTGTGGCAGGGTGGAGTTTCCGTGTTCATAATTCAGGCCATTGATGATGCTCTTGTGTTACAATACATGAATTAGCCACGTAAACATTTATGTAAAGATATGAGTAAAAGAATGAAAGAAAATATCCCCTTGTTTACTCTCACAAAAAAAGATGAAGTTCCCGTGGGTGTTTCAGCAAGGTGTGTTTATTACACTGTGCTGTCTGTTGTTAGAGAATGTTTTAAGGCATTATTAGTATTTTAATATCGCGCTCCTTTTAATTATTCTCATTGATCAATTAAAATATTCTTATTAACTTCAGTCGTATACTCTTTGTGGCACTGCTGCCAAGTCCTGCTTTCCCTGCTTTGCGTAGGACATAAAAGAACAGAGCTTCAGCCAGGCTCACAGCCTCGCCCACTGGATGTATCTCTGCTCGTTGCCCCAGCGGGTGCTAAGGAAGTGCACCAAACCCTTATTGTGACCCTGCAGTAAGCAGACTTTCTTCAAATACCAGCAGAGGCAGATAAGCTGGATATGGAGCCTGGCTTCCACTGATGTATTTCAACATGAATATTAAATAGACTTTAGATTAACAGTTCAATGTATTCGTTATAATACTACTAATTACTGCAAGCAGTCATTCTGGTCCTTGTGTTCAACTCTCTGTTTGCCACGTGGGTACTCTTCTTGTCCCCTCTCTTGCCACATCCTCCTTTATCCTCAGTCCCCACTTCTTTGTCAGCTGTCTAAATAGAGTTGCATCCAAGTTGTACCGAGTGACGCAATGGCTGCATGCATGCTTAGGGGCCAGTTAGAAATCAAAAAGACGGATTGAATTCAGTGCCCGAAGCAAGATTTTAGTTAATACACACACAAAAAAAACAGGTAGCTATTAAAGGCTATAGAAAGAGAAATAAAGTGTTACCCGTGTTCTCAGTATAGCTCCCAGTAGCCCCTGATGGTGGCACTTCATCCTTTGCATCTGCTGTAAAGGTCGGCGTCGTGGCTCAGCTCAGCAGTCCCAGGGCTGCTCCCACCTATGAGGCTGTGCATGAAATAAAAGCGGTTTGGTTGTTAGGTGCAGAGCCTTGAATTACAAACCAAACCCCAGCCCTAAACAAAGAGTATGGCATCTGTTCTCTCTTGAATCATACTTCCACCAATAACCTCTTTCTCCTAAATGACTTGAAGAAAGAATTAACAGTTCTACAGAATGCTCTTTGAATTCATACCTAATGCACCACTAATTTACAGGCAGCCAGAACTACAAGTCAGTGTGTCGTCATTACAGCGCTGAATTTTCATTAGGTTTTACTTTGCTTTTTTCTCCCCCATTCATTCTCAGGTTTTTGCATTACAGTACTCAGTCCAGATACGATGTTACCTGTCATTCAGTTTACACTGAATCCTCTTAAGTTGCATTTCAGATACTGATGCTGAATTCTTGTTCTGAATGTCCTGACCAGGAGCATTACATTTCCCGCACAGTTTGTTTCCTTCATGCAGCATAGAGCAGATTGGAAACAGATAATTATTCATGTCACACTTGTGATCCGCTTCGCTTATTATTAGTGCTGTGTGGGGGCTGTAGGCATGCTCCAGATCATTGCTTTGTTCAGTCTGGGCTGGTGGAAAGAAAATGGTACAGATGTTGCTCATGTAAGTGCTGCATCTATTTCCATTGTGTAAAACTGAAAGGTGCGATGTTCTTTGGTTTGCTCTGCTTTGCTTTGGCAGTTACAGTAGAGTTGCATGGAGTATTGTACTGCCAGTGCCTCCTTAAAGAAATACAAAAAGTTTGGAAATCAGCTAGCTGTAGAAATGCCATTTTGCTTATCCTTATTCTTCACCAATGCATTTGATGCCATTAGTATAGGAGAAAAGTTGCTGGGAGTGGTAATGGTATCACTTAAACGAGAGCAATGGACCTGACACTGCTGGAGCTCATTGGTGTTGCTCCAAGTGTTGTTCTGGCTCCCTCACAGTGGGCTGTGGGTTTGTGCATGGGCAGGAGCAAAAAGGGTCTATGGTGAGGGCTGAGAGTACAGCTGGAAGCAGCCGTGCCTTGCAGGAGCACAACCATCACATCGGGCAGTGGGGAGCTGCAGTGTGCAGGCTCTGCTCCCTCTCATGGGCTGGAAAGCCATCCAGGTTGGGGTGAAGTCTCCACTTTTCTTCTTTATTCAACCACACATTCAGTGTGCAGCCTCGGTTGAGTTACTTTCTCTGGATGTACTTCCCCTTCCTTAAGTTGGGAATAACCAGACGGAGCAAACTGCTTTCAAATATAGGTATGAAAATAGTGTATGAGTGTGCCAAGTAGCATTACTACATTTCAAGTGACCTTTCGGTCTGAAACTTTGCCAAAGGAAGGGGAGAGGAAGCCACTGTTGAATTGAGTTTTGCAGAGAGATCCTGCAAACAGATGGTGTTTGCATATAGGATGTGCAATTCAAGTGCAACTTCACTACAACACTCTTCATTTTTAATAATTGCAGACGGGCGAAACTCCGGCTATATTTGGAACAGCTAAAACAGCTCGTGCCTCTTGGGCCGGACAGCACCAGACACACCACTCTAAGTCTGTTGAAAAGAGCTAAGATGCATATCAAGGTAAAAACATTCATCTGTATTTTTACATTTTTAAAGCATAATCTTCCAGAATGTGTATCCATAACGAGGAGTTTTAATTTTCACACAAGATCTGTATCCATATGTCTGATCTTCTGGCTCTATTGGTCTGTATTAGAAGCAGGGTTTTCACTCAGGTTATCAAGTTTTTTATGTGCTTTGCAGTATCAGATATATAAAATGGTGATTTTGTGATTATTAATGGTTTATATTGCATTAAAATATATGTATATCATGGGTGTTATTTGATTAATGTACTTATTTTAAGGACTGAAAAAAGTAGCATTGTACTGCACTTGATATCAGTGTGAAAATACCAATAACTGGTAATGAAATAACTAACGGAGTCAAAGGGATTATAGCTCCTAACGAGTCTCACCCTCATCCCATACTCCAGCAACCAGATCCTGGAGCATGTGCCAATCACTTAAAAGAAACCAAAAATAAAATCTCATCTCCTGTTAGCTGCCACTCCCTTTGCATGCTTTGTGTGAGCAACACCTGAGCCACCAGCTGAAAACCAAAACGAAACCTCACCTATGCTTTAGCAACAGTACAGGTTAGACATGTGCACAGACAACACAAAGGAGATCCCTCCTGAGCCCTGCTCTTTCCTAAGACTGCGTAGTTTCACTCTCGTCATTTTCAGGGGAATGGAAGCACAGATAGATGATAATATTTAAATGCAGAAGGTTAAAGAACAGGTTTCTGATGCCGTCTCCAGGACTGTAATTATTTGTCTAGCATTTTTTTCAAGGTAAAAGGGGAAAAGAGACAAAAGCAAAAAGTGTCGTGAGAGGCTGAATGCTGCCAGTAGTCTGGGAATATTTTGGAGAACAGCCTGCTGCTGTACAGCAGTGACATTCAGTGCAATTGCAGAAATGGCTGTAATTCGTAGGAAGCATTAAGGATGAATTCAAGCAAAGCCATTCTTGTAAACAAGGTTACTCAGCTCCTTCTTCAGCTCTTGTAAGCACGTTTACTCCAGCTGAGCAACCCCTGTTTTGACCACTGGAGATTTTGGCTGCTTGTTTATAATTCAGGCTAACATGCATGAAAGGCACTGCGTGTGGTTTTTGTCTCGGGCTGCCCCCCTATCATGGGCTTATGCATACAAATTGAAAAACTGTTTTTACAAGTGGCAAGTGTGAGAGATTAGCCATGCAGTTAACATTTCAGCTGCTGATAACAGAGCTAGGAACGGATTCTTTCCCAGTCTGTCGTGCACGGTACCATGTACTCCTTTTCTCAAAAGTGAAACTGAAGTTTTGTTTTCTTTTTGAGATTCTAACTGAACCCACCTCCACTGTTCTGATGCCTGACTGCTCCCCTCCAACAGATCTGCAGGCTTTCGGACAGCCACCTCTCAGCTGCACTGTCAGAGCAGGCACTGCCCCGGCCTTTCCAACACAGCAATTAGTTCTGAACTTTTCACACGCACACCCATACACTGAAACTTGCCCTGAGAGATCGGACAGTTTTGGGTCTCCTGGATACGAATCACCGAGTTCATTCCTGAAAGAGTTGTTGGAGTCTGGGACCACAGCCAGGAAGATAGAGGAAAAGGAAATGTGATCAGTTGGGCACATTTGGTGTGCTGTGCACATGGATGTACTCCCCATTTGCTTATTGTAACATCGTGTTCCTACGTATGATGCATATCTGAGTAGTGTGTGGCCTGGGCTCACAGTGAGGCTACAGAAATTAGGTTTCATTCAGGTGGGAAGCTGCTGAGTTGAGTAACATCAATTATGTTTTCAAAGATAAATACATTTGCTTTGGGGTTGGCATTAGAACAGCAGAATCCTTGCAGTCACTTGGCTCGTGGTTTGTTGTATGCTGTCCCACCCCACTCTCCTCTAGAAACCCACACATAGGTTCATTCACATGGTAGGGAAGAGTCAGCAGCAGCTGTATTCACTCCCAGTACATCTCCTACATCTCAGTGGTCATGTAAACACTGCTCAAAGAGAAATTTGGTCTAGCTTGTAAGTGCTTTTTCTGCCAGAACCTGTAATTTACTTCATCACTTAGATTAAAAGAATTGCCTTTTGTGTGTGTGTGTTTTGTTTGTAGCTCCTGCTTTTTATCCAATCATATCCATTCTACTTCTTCTCTAGTTATGCAGTCCGTTTTTGAAAATAGCTATCAGCGATTGGAAAAGCATTCAGCTGAGATCTGAGAGTATCCCTGCTATTACGTTTCTACCAACAGTGCATTGCGTTCTACGCAGTGTGAGGCATTCTTTTTTGTTCCAAAATGAACACCTTATTTTATTCAAGTAACAGGAAAGATCTGGAACTGATTCATGAAAGGACTCATTCACAGGTTGTTTGCTGAGAAGTATTGGATTAATAGTGCTGATTTTGTTAGGGGGTTATCATAGAGTTATCAGAGAAGTGCTAGGAAAAAGAAATGCAAGAATGAAGGGAATTGTTGGTAAATTCCTCCTACTTCATATATAAAGTAATACTGGAGTATTGATAATGAAGCACTCTTAAATGGTAACAATTTCCATAGCCTCTGGTAGTACAGGGAGCACAGAGGAGCCTGTAATGGTTCCTTTACGGCGATAACTCTCTTGTTTCACCTAAAGAGCCATAAAACTCTGCTTGAAACCGGAGCCGTGCTTTAGTTACCAAAGATGGTGACAGTTTTGCCTGACAAAATGATTTAAATATTCCCCAGAACCGAGGCAACAATCATTCAGTCTTAGCTGAGAAGCTTTTGCTAGTGGCAAAAGGGTCCCTAAGGAATACTTTTCTTTTACTGTATCCATGTATTTTACTGTGAAACCAATTCGCTTCCGGACTGGCCAGCTGAAGTTGCACGGAGCTCTACAGGGTGGAAACAGAAATAATTGTGTCTGATCATCAATTCGCGCTCTAAAAGAACTGATTGGAGAAGATCCAAAGTTACGATGCTTTAACACAAGTACGATCTGTTGGCTTACTGATACTCTCTCTCTTTAAGAAATTGGAAGAACAGGACCGAAAAGCTCTGAATATTAAAGAACAATTACAGCGGGAACACCGCTACCTCAAACGCAGGTTGGAGCAGCTATCCGTGCAGGGCATGGAGCGCATCCGCACTGACAGTATGGGATCAACAATATCCACTGACTCTGAACAAGGTAAGTGCGTGGGGCTGCCCAGAGGGGCCTGCAGCTGTGGGAAGGAGGGGGAAGCAGGGAAGCAAAAAAAATCTATTTTTCGATACACAATTTAGAACTAAGATCAAGTTTTCAACAAAACCCAGACAAAACTGTTCCGTTACGCAATCTACAGAACGAAAAGCAACGGCATCTTTTGTATATTCTTTGCAAAGCAGTTATTTGCCTTAATTCCTTTGCGTGAGTAAATCAGTTTCACATCATTTCTTGTGAAATGTTACAATATTTTCTGTGCAGTGATCACCAAGTGTTTCCTACATTTGGTTTTCATTTAAGAGTGAGCTGTCGGAGCTCCCCATCACCTTTTCTCATCTTCTGGTTAGCAGTGTGTCTGTCAGTGAGGACTCACACACACAGCCCTTTCCAGGGCCCGTGGGAGACGGAGCTGTTGGTCACAGTGCAGCTCTTGGAGGACAGATGGCTGCACCGCAGTCACTGCGAGCTGACACCTGCAGGTTGAGCTGCCGCGTGTGGTGCTACAGCTCAGAGCCCAGAGGGTTTGGGTTTTCTTCGTGTGTTTTTTAAGATCAGCATCTCTGAACAGGTTGGAACTGTTCTGGGACAGCATTTGGTGCTGATGTCACGCTGTGTATTTATGTAGGCGAGGACAGGAGGGATTTTAATTCTCGGGTGGACAAGATGCTGCTTACCTCAGGAGCTACCGTTGCAGGCTTCTTTTAATTACAGAAAATGAATGATTCGGGTTCCGCCTGCACGTTGGTTACGCAGGCAGCGCTGGCCCCTGGTTACTTGTTAGAGAAGCTGCGTTTCTGAAAATATACTTCTTGCGTTTTCTTTAGAAGTAGACATTGAAGGAATGGAGTTTACACCCGGGGAAATGGACAGTGTTGGAAGTGCCAGTGATGCTGAAGACCACTACAGTTTGCAAAGCGGCTCGAGCGATGGAGGTTACACACATTCCCGCAGACTGAATGCCAGGCTCTCATAGTGCCTGAGTTACCAGTTCAACTCAGGACCATCTGACTGAAGCACTTATATATGAATATTCCAGAGGTGTCAACTGCCACTCTTCCGGGAAACCCCAACCACAGTACTCTGACATGGAGGTTTCTTACCCACGGTTCCCTGCACTGTAACCACAATATTAGATATTGTAAATCATGGGTTTGTTGCAGAGAACTGTGGTTAGGTACAGTTGTGACTTAAAGCTAGCTTGATGTAGCTCTACTGCAAATTAAAGAAAAGAAATTGTCATTCCATTCAAGAGGTATTAAATTCAAACTGTTGGAAGCATGGCATAAGGAAGTTTGACAGTTATTTTGATTTTGCAGAAACCATTTTCAAACATGGAAGAATGAACAGAAACTACCATGCGTTAGTGATTCGGAGATAACAAAAACCTAAAACTACTTTTTGTGGTATTTTTACATGGAAAAAAAGAAAATGGAACCCTGTATAGCAGGCTCTGTTGTATCAATTCTTTCAGCAGTTGTTTGGGTAAAGCAGGCGGATAAACCTTCAAATTACAGATGATCTTTAGAAAAGGTCATATTTACAAGTCACTACTGTACTTCAAAATGGGGGAAAAGCCAGCTCTAGTAATGACTTCATGTGGGATGATCTCAACTTTCTTCTGCTTTTTTGTATTCAGTATCCAACCAGCAGCAAATCATTCCATCCATGTTAACAGGAGGAGTAGAATGCAGCACTGCAGTTTGGACCTGTTACTGTGGAATGGATGACATTGAAGCATTTCAGTGTTTTTGGTGGTGTTTTTTTTTTCATTTCTTTGTCTGAAAAATACAGAACTCAAGCGATCCAGATTGTGATAGCTAATCTTTCCTTGCAGGGAAATGAAATTTCTGTTTGCTTGTATTTTTTTTTTTCTTTTTACACATGTCAATACATTTTTATGGAAGGCATGGCTTAAAAATACAGTATTCAGCTAGAAGATAATTAATCCTTTTTTCTTTTGCACACTATAATTGCATTTTCTATTCTTAAAAAAGTGCAAAAAATTTAAATGTATGCTGTAAAACAGCAAAGTTTATTTAGTACTCATCAAGCTGTTCAGAACATATTTACCCAAATTATAGCAATACTATGAAGATGTATTTTAATACAACTTCTGCTTAGTGAAGTCATTAGAGCTTGGCTTGCCGGGTAAGAAAAAATGGACCAGTCTTTGCATTACCTGTTTAAAGAAGGTCTTTTAAAAAAAAAAAAAAAAAAAAAAAAAAAAAAAGAAAGAAAAAAGGAAAAAAAAAAGAGAAAAAAGCTATAAACACTTTTAGGGAAGTGATTTTAGCAAGTGTAGTCTATATTTCCTGTAAGAGATTTTGTATTATATTTTCCTAAATGTTCTCATTTACTTGTATAGGGAGGGGAATGGTACAGACCCAGACCAGAGTCTCAGGGACTCTTCACCTTTGTCATATTGTGCCTTGGTGACCATTTATGTATGCCTCTCCTTTTCATTGTTTAAAGGACAACTAAGCTTTGTTTCCAGACCCTCCATTTGAATGGTCAGTTGTCCACCTTCCTACCGATGAAGTAGAGAGGTGTGTTTATATCTTTACCCTCTCACAACTGATTCAGTGTGGCTTTAAGTAAAATCCTAAATTTAGGTTTCGGTGCGAGGGTTGATTGTACAAGCCCTCCTTTTGATTCTTCAGCACCCAAATCTATATTTTGTTAGCTTATAAAGTCAGGGTCTCCGTGAGACCAGTGCTCAGTGGCTAGGGAAACACAAATGTACTGTGTAAGGCTATGGGATGTCCAAGTGTGGTGCCATTTTTAGCATTCAGATACAAGACCTCATGACATGCTGACCATAATGATCAAAAACAAAGATTCAGTTGTTCTTTCAACATCTGACATACGTGTCCTCCCTTTGGCTCTTACAACACCGAGTAGAAATACGAATACATTTTGTGGCAGCTTACAGATCCTTGTTTGCACTCTCGCTTACTGCTTGGAACTTGCCAACAAGGAAAATGTATATGTTTAATGTACATAACCTAACGGATTGCCACCCCTACTTTGGCTCTGGGGAGGGGCATAAGGTTATCAACTCTGGCAGCTGAATAAGAAAACAATTAACCTTTTCTGTGATGCAGGTTTTGGTATTATGTTGTATACACCTTGCATTTTACTAAAATCCTCGTTGTTGGGGAAAGCACACAGCAATATACTCATTGTGTGTAGCTGACAAGCAGCAGAAATTACTAGCTCCTTTGGTGCATATGAAACTAATTTCCAAATCATGGAAAAAACAAAACAAAACAAAACTAAGAGTTTACTTTAACATACGACTGTTAACAGGAAAAAAAAAACAGGCTAGTATATTGTTGCTGTTCATTTATTCTATAATGAACACGTTCATAAATTGTAAAGTGTTTCCTTTCGTGACAAGCAGCTCTTGCACAGAACCTCCTAATGAAAAGAGATTTGAAACTTACAGAAGGAAAGACAAAATTTTAAATTGAACATTATTGTACCTTAGGTCAACCTGAAATTTTCCTTTTAAAGATGAATGTGCTAACTTAATGAGTTCTTCCACGCTGGGTATCCATGGCTTTGTAGATCTTATATTTTCAATAAAAATTACTCGAATAATCTTGAGTGGAAACAAAAAGGGTTCATTTGTTTTTACTTTTCCAGTTGTTACAGTGGGGGCTGCTATCCCGGTGAAAAGATCCTCTTGATGCGTTCTTCTCCCCATTGTAAAGCAGTGCTTCCTCCAGATGCAGCCCCTTGTCTGCAGGCAGTTCAGGACAGCAGCCGGATGTCCCACAGCTGCTCCAGGTGCCGGGCTTCCCAGCTGGCATCTCAGCACCGCGCTGCCATTCAGGCTGGCAGTTCCTTCCGGAGCACATCTTACTGCGCTGTGTGTGGCGGTGGCACCCCGGGATGTGTCACCTAGGGGTGGACAGGGTGTCCTGGTTTTGCTCATTTTCAAGCTGAATCTTTGTGTGCGTGTTCGTGTGTGTACGCAGGGATTGGTGTGCTACCTGTAACCACAGCATTCATGGAAACAAATGCCGCTGCTCCAAGATTAAACGCAGCAACCGTGCTGGCAGATCTGCTGCTCTGTGTCATGACCGTGCTTTGGGCAGGTGAGGCCCCACTTCTATCTTCATCTTTCTTCCTTCACGTTACCCTGTGTGGGCAGGGCTCTGCGGAGACGCCGCCATCGCAAAGGACTTTCTGCGGAGTGTGGAGGCCTGGCCTCGGGGCTGGCCCTTCCCTGCTCCTGGGGCAGCGCTGTGAGTGAGTCTGTGCCATCACAGGGGAGAGGCATAAATCCAACCCCAAATGGTTAACTTTTCTGCAAATTCTCAGCTGCAATTAGGATGAATATGCCTTCACTCCCATCCCAGCTCTGACTAACTTGTATCCCATGGAGGCTGGCTTACTTATCTTTCTAAAAGAGTGGGGCTTGACCAGTGGAAGTTGCAGCATGTTGTTGCCTGGGACTGAATCCTGTGGGCTTTTTTGTACGAAACTCAATCTAGGCTCAGAGTGAGTTTCATTAGAATACCACAGACATAAGTTGTCCCCCAAAAATCAACAAGAACGACAGAGTTTTTCATCTGATGGGTTTCATATCATGAATGATTCTTTCTTAGTTAACATCTGGGATGGGAAAAAAAAATGCTGATAAAACCTTCATAAAATTTAAAGAATTATCGCTTTTCCTGACCCTCCACAATATTTTTTATTGACACAGAACCATAGAATCATTCAGATTGGAAAAGACTCCTAAGATCACCTAGTCCAACTGGCAGCCCATTCCCACCATACCCTCTACTTCTACTGATGTACAGTTAATAAAAGCCACGAACATCAGAATTTGGAGCATCCTACTGTACATCAGGTGTGTCCAGTTTTGGTGAATTGAATGCCAGAAGCACAGAACTGGAACAGGAGGATGCAGAGCTGTGTGCCAGCCCAGGCTGCGGCAGTGCTCCACGCGGTGCCCCAGGGCATCATTCTGCTCTTCTTGGAGGCCTTTACTGCAGCCTCCGCTCCCCAGAGAGGTGATTACTGCACCACGTTGCCACCATCCTCGCTCAGTGGCAACTACCTGAGAGTGGTTTTGTCCCTGCAGATGAGCACTGTGGAAACGAACGTCAAGGCTTTTAACCTAGGAATAGTAATTTTAGTCTCAGAAAGCTGTTAATTTCTGTTACTGCTGCAGGCCATTGGTCTTGTACGTGGTAAGAGTCAGGAACGAGGCGGTTGTTTCAGCCACTAAACTGCACATCCCAGCACTGGGGGAAGGAGAACTGACTGCCTTTAGATGCTCTTAAAGCTCTGTATTCCCCACAGACACGAATGGGGTGAACACATCAGAAACCAAATGAAGTTTCACCAAAAGCAAAATGAGCCAAATTGCCAAAGTGACCAACTAAATGTAGTACTGTTAATTGGCAGCTGCCAGAGAAACATCCAAGTATTACGTTACTACCTAGAATTGCAATGGAGGGGAAATACTGAACAGAATATGTGAGAATTTGGTCATCTTGGCCCTTCTTTCTATCTCAACTATTGCAAATCCCAGCAAAAGACTGCAGTGGAGGGAAATCCACTCGGAGTCATAGAATCATAGAATCATTAGAGTTGGAAGGGACCTCTGAAGACCATCTAGTCCAACTCGCCTGCAGTGAGCAGGGACATGCACAGCTACATCAGGTTGCCCAGGGCCTGATCCAGCCTCAACTTGAGAGTCTCCAGGGACAGGGCGTCAACCACATCACTAGGAAGCCTGTGCCAGTGCCTCACCACTCGCACTGTAAAAGATTTTCCTTTTATCCAATCTAAATCTCCCTTCTTTAAGCTTGAAGCCATCTACCCTCGTTCTATTACCACAGACCCTGCTAAAGAGTCTGTCCCCTTCTTTCCTGACGTTCCACATTGAAAAGGTTCTGCGTGCACACCTGTGTGGTGCTCGCTACATTCAGTAGCGCGTGGAATGGTGTGTTGTATTGTTATTTTGTGAGAATATACAAATCTTTTCTACCTTTTTGTTGTGTTTCATTTTTTCTTTTTGAATTGTCATCTCTATTTGCATGCAGCGTTTCTTCTCTTTGCAAATCTTTTCATATAGCTTTAATGACTACTTAATGAGGAGCTCATAGAGTTTTAGCAATTCAAATTAATGCTATGGCATTAAGGCTGAGTGCAATTTAAATTAAATTTCTTTTACACATGTTGGCCCAATGTAACCCTAACAGTCATTAACGTTATTTGTTATAACCATGGGTGCCGTATAAATTTCCACTATTAAATTCTGAAGAGAAACCAGCCTGTAAAGCAAAGTGCAAATTGAAATGCATTAGTATTAAATGTTTGAAATAATTGTACCTGAAATCACTCTGGCTCTGTACAAGGCAGAAAAAATGTGTACGAGGCGACCTGCAGGTTCTGCATGTGTGCTCTGCTGAATGGGAAATCCGCAGCCAGACGAAGGTGTGCATTTCAGTTTGTTACTGGGGGAGATGAGAGGGAGACAGAACTGAGATGCTTTTGCAAATGGTGGTGTTGTATTTTCAAGCACAGCGTGAGACATTCTTTTGTTTCAATTTGTCAACAGTGTTGCGCTGTAAATTCAGATTTCTTCAAAATACAGAAATGGGAGTTTTAGTCTGAAATCATGGCATGTAGATTGTCAGGAAGCTGAGCCACTGAAAAGACTCATGCCAAAGGAGACCATCTTTTTAGCAGAGCTTTCTTTGAAAGCCCCCCTACTATATATATAACAAGCGCCAAAGGGCACCCAGGTGCTGCTGAAATCTGCAACAGGAAGAGGGGGGCAGCAAACTTTTGCTGTGTGCAAGACAGAACCACATGGGAGCAGCATTCTGAGCGATGTTGTGGCGCAGTTTTGATGAGCCTTGCACAGTTTAAGACCCGTGCAGTTTCCTTCATGACATTTGTAATGCCTTGTCAGCTGTTTATAAGAAAAGTAAGTTTCCTCATTTTGCTAATGATGGAAATTTAATAAGTCCAGAAGCTTGACTATCAGTAAGAAAATGGTTTTGGTTTTTTTCTTCTGCAGCCGATTTAAATGGAAAAGAGCCTTAAATTATAAATAAAATAAATAAAATTATAAATAAAATGATGGCCATCACCTTGCTCTAAAAGAGGTTGTTTAAAGTAGTTTCAGTGGCAAAGTTTTCAATTATTACTGTTATTAAACATCCAGGCATTGTGATCAACTCGGTTCTTTCATGGACCTCAGCATGGCAAGAATGGTATGATTATGATGGATGGACAGGCAAGGAATGGAGGGTTGAAATTACTAGTGCCAGAAAGGACTGGGCTTGTGATAGCAGAGACTGCCACGGCTATGGGGTCCATTTCCTTTTGCTCACTAAGGTGTCAGCTCCCCAGGCTGAGGGAGCAGCTCTCTACAAAGCCTCCAGAAGCTCCTGCTCCTTCGTGTCGCTGCTGTGCAGAGCAGCCACTGCCCTGGTGTGCAGAAGCTGGAACGCGACGGCAGAGGCAGAGCAGCGTGAGGTGGTGGCAGGAGCAGGCTGGTGCTTTCCCATCCTGCTGGACTTTTAATGCAAAACAGGGCCAGAAGAGTAAACAGGTTTTTTAGAAAAGAATAACTTTGTGCACTGTTTGTCTAAATAACATCAGCAGTGTCAGTCCAATCGTATAGGTGCTTTTTTCTACTTATGGCATCGTATCCAATAAAGCCTGAAGAAAGCTAATCACTGTGACCTGCTTTTCTGGGAACACAAGGTTTCGGAATGAAATCTGTTCCTCCAGAGACAATACAGGTGCCTGTGAGAGCCAGCGAGCTGGTGCCAAATTTCTGTATTCTGGCTTTATTATCATAACAGTTCACACGGCACTTCAAAAGCTGTGCTTAATTCAGAGCCTGAGTTTGCTTAAAGCAGTGATCTTCTTTTAACAGAGCGCTTCCAAAGAGTGGCTGGCACTCCTGCAATCTGCATTGGGCCTCTCTAAAATCCTGCTGCTACTGGCTAAAAACCTGCATGCTGCATAATGGAAAAGCTTCCACACTGCTACACCACCTAAAAACTTATTTCTACATCTTCGCTGTTATTTAGCCAATCCAAACCCCAAACCTAAAACGATAATAAGCAAAATACTTTTATGTGAGCTCTTCACGACAGATGTATCTCAGTGGGAGGGCTTATATTCACCAGCTGTGAAGCCTATATATGTGTTTCACAGCCTGGGCCAGTGGGTAATCGATAGCTTCTCAAGTGAGCACCAGACACAACTACATCATGTTTTGCAGTGAAACAAATGCAACATGGCACGGGTGGGATAGTGCAGAGCTTGCAGACATCCTTCCAGAAAAGTCTCTGTCTTAATCTGTTGGAATCCACCATAAAATGGCTTGTAAATACAACACGCTATCTAAGCAGCCTCTCTGGTGCTCGGACACAGATGCAAAACAACTGCTCCTGGAATGGAAAAAAAGGGTAAGGTAAGCCTTTAATTATGTTTTGACTGAACACAACCGAGAAAAAAATGAATCAGAGAAAAACATTCTTGACCCATAAGGAGCTGCAGAAGGAAACACTGAAGCATATGGGGCTGTGGCTGGATGGGAAAAAGGACTGTAAGAAAAGTCAAAGATACGATTGTAAC